ATTTGGGGGGGTCAAGTGGACCCTTAGTCTTTAATATTAGTAACCTGGGCTGATTTTTTTAATGAAAGACTTGAATTGAATTCAAATCAGGAGACATACAAACGTGAATGAAAGGAGTGGGAGTCATTTGGGGGGGTCATTTAACGAGTGGAGAGTGAAGCGAGTTAGTGGGTTATTTAGATTAAAAAAAATGATAAAATTGCATTATATAAGTATCCCCCCTTCCAAGTTATTATCAAAAAATTATTAATAATAATACAAGGATGGCCTTCTCAATCAAAAAATGGTTGTGATCTTAATTTGTTTGGTTACAAAGTCTATGCCGAGCTTAAGCCATAGTTTTAGCCTGCAGAATGGAAAATTCAATTTCATTTCTTAAGGCATAAACATAAATGAATCCGAGCCGCTTCTCATGACAAACACAATTCAATGCACAATAAATTCAACCCCGTGAGAAGCCAATGCAAATTTTCAATGGTTCGCCACCTATTTCCTTCACTTGGAAAGATCAAAGATAGTAGGCAGTAAAACAAAGAACAAGAACAATATCCGTTTGCATCCATTTCCAGCAGAAAGTAATAAGATGAGGACTCAACCCAAGGACTTCAGCTCCCTATCCACAGCTCATCCTAATATCATGAATTTGTTGCTGGGGAGAAGAGGAAAATAAAAGAAAAAAAAAAAAAAAAAAAAAAACAAGAAAAGGGGAAGATAGAGGAAGAGGAAGAGGAAGAAGAAACCATTTAAGACAATATATCATGCGAAGAACCAAGTTTGAACACACTAAATATATTAAGCCATGGCGTTATCATGATGGAAAAAGGGCATCATTCCAACTTCAGGGGTGTTCGCCAAAATATGCATGATTTTGCTTTGTAAAACAAACTGTGATATTTTAAACACAGTAAATATAATAATAATAATAATAATAATAATAATGTCTTCCCCCTTCAGGGGTGTTTGCCAAACTATTCATGTTTTTGCTTTGTAGAACAAACTGTGACATCAGCAAAAACGTTTGCTTTTTCTGGCATGGCAATTATTTTTGTTTTACAAAACGAAAAGAGTGTAGATGTATTGCATGAAACAAAATAAATGGTGAAACAAAGTACATGTGTATTCATTCATTCATTGCAAAGCCTGCAAGGATGTTATGGGCAAACGCTCTGGGGCCGTTCAAGGTAAAATCATGCTTTCACAAGGATTTGAAGGCTTATGGGGCTGGCACTTGAAGGGTTTGTCCCACAAAGGGAAAATCCCATGGGGAGTAGTGATACACAGCAGTGGTTTGGTCAACATGGACAGAGAAATAGGACACTTTTTAAAAACTAGCACAGATGAGATACTATTGAAGAGCTTCTGGGTTAGAATATACTAACGCGCATCAGGACAAAGGCAGTAAAAGAATACATCTTATAGTTCTTTTTTTTATACTAGTAATCTTTTGTATCAATGTATACAGTGTAATCAGTATTACAAAAGATGGATTGGTTGAACCCTGCGCACTTTTCATTGAACAGGGCCTTGTAATGCTTTTTCCAGTTTAATACAATACCATATRTTTTCTCTAAAACAATGCATATYGKCMAACACCCCCTTCGCYTACTCAAGTTTTCTWCACCATAAAGAGATAAACCCTAGATGTGTGAAGGAGTTCCATGCCTTAAAACTAAATTTACATGCAGATGTGATGCCGTCATCTTGTCCAGAAAACAGACAGCAATAAAATAACTCAGCATGGCATATCAGTATATGCACTTAAAAATTAAGACTGTTTACTAGTATATGTTACAGTTCATGAAGTTCATCTACCTTCCAAATGGCCTTTTTCTTTTCAGAATTAGGGGTAGTTTCAAGTCATGTGTCAATTACTGATGGAAAGATGAGTCTCTTTGGTGCTCCCAGAATTTATAGAGATCCAGAGTACCAGCAGGCAGCAGCTATTGTTTATGAAATAGGACTATRAYTCTGACCCAAMTAATCAATTAATAAGAGTGAAGAGCCCAACCAAACTATAACAAATTTCACAGAAAATTACCTGTTAAAAATCACCAGTCGCAATTCCCCATAGATTAAAAGTATAACGGCCACTCTTCTCAAAGCTAACATGATGAGGTTGTAGTTCTAAGTTCAGCCCAACAGTGTCTGGCTTCATTTCGACCATACCAGAATCTTACCTAAGCCGAAGAAAAATGGAGGGGAGAAAAAGCAAAAAAGAAAAGGGAAAAGGAAGAAAAAGAGGAAAAGAGGAAAAAAAGAAAAAAAGAGTAAGGGAAGACCAAGGTTTAAGACATAAGTAATAGGCATAGACAAAAAAAGTGAGAATGCTAAAAGCTAAAACGAAATACTTCCATCTCAAGCAAGTATAGGTGAAGACTCCAGGGGGAAGTTTTCAATTTGGTTGGAGAGCATTATAGCATACAGGTCTGTAACCCTACAGGTCTGCATACCTCTATCACAAATAGAGAAGATGAATTCTGCAAACTTGCTCTGACAAAGCTCCTACAGAAAACCACCATGTAAATCCTGCACAGGTTTTGGATATGACAGGCACCACCAGCCATTAAAGACAATAACATGGAGCCTATAACCAGAAATCTCAGAGATTGGATGACCACAAAGCAAGACACTCTTCAACCAACCAGTACAGACAAGAAATAAAACAAATATAGAAAGAAGAGAAGCCTTATCATGCAATGTAACCATGCAAGCATTCTGGAAAACAAACCTACAGCTCAGGTTCGCCTTCTAAGACATCAACCACCATTATCTTTCCACCGAATATCATTCATGCAGCAACTATTAACATCAGAAAGCCCCTGCATTGGTCAAGATGTAAATCCCTAATCTAGATAAGATCCAGGCCACTAATACTTTAGAAAAGCACTCTGATGTCTTTGAAATAAAAGAACAAGATCAAGAAAAATAAACAAAAAAAGAGGTGAAGTCTGACAAGTCAACATTTTTGTCCTTAAGATAAGCACTTGGATCAAGAAGTTCTCTACCTAGTGACGAGATTAATAGTCCATACATTAAGCAGTAAAACAAGGTTGTTACAGACTTGGCCAGATAGATCCTGGATGTGGGGAAAAGCTGACTCCTTGAATAAACTTTCACCAGACCAAGATTTGCTCCGAAACTCTTCCTCCAATGTCTCCCCACTGAACCTGCAAAAAATACACAAATACAAGTGTCTTTCATGGATAGTTGAAAGGCTGAGCAAATCCTGAGAACCAAAAGAAAGTTTATGGCTCATTTTCCACAGCATGTCTTCACTGCTAGAAGCATAAAATTATCTTTCAGAACTGAAACTTGGAAAATTCCTAGCACAATCCCAATGAACTTCATCACACCACCACAAGTATTTAATGATTCCAGTCTTCATCCTCTCCTGAAGAAGAGATTCCTGAATCTAAAKATCCATGGTCYGGTTTAGATTTTTTATGCTGGTATTTAGCTTCTATAGTCCTGGGGATTCCATAACTCTTAGCTCCCTCAGGTGAAGCTGAACTCCTGTGAGATGGTGGAGAAACTGCAACCTTTTCATCTTCCTTCATATCTGCTAAACCATAAATAATGTCATCTTGATCCTTACTCAATCCAGTTTTATCAATATCTCTATCCCCAGGAAATGACCTTTTAGGCCCATTTTGATCTTCTGCACCCTCAGACTTCCCATAGCTATGGCTTATCAGCTGAGAAAAATCTTTATTATCTTGTTTAACATAACCAGTTGCATAAATTTCTCTGTACTCTCCTGGTGTTTCATGCCTTCTCCTTTTCCTTGTATCCTTCAATTTCTCATAATTTGGCAACACTGACATTTCTTCCTCAGGCTTAGGCCCAGACATGTACACAGTCTTCAAAGCCTCAACTGATCCTTTAGTGTAACAGTCTTGTTCCATGGAGCCAGGTGAAGTTTTAAAATCATCATATTTCATACATTTTGAGTCCTCAATGTCATACTGTTGCTTGATTTTTCCAGATACTTTCTCCACTATTGACTGGTTGTCTTTGCCTAGATTTTCTGCATCAGAAGAAGGTTCATCATCCAGAGCTGATGAGTTTTTCTTCCAAGTATCCTTCTCCAAAGAACATGGAATCATTCCCTCTTCCTGCAACTCCATAGGATTGTTAGAATATTTATCAGGCTTCTCATCAACTTCAAAGCCTGTCAATTCCCCCAATCCCTCAACATCATTATTGATATAAGCTTCTTTGTCAGCAACAACCTCAGCTCCTTCTAGTTCTGCATTCTTCAGGTCTTTTGGTTCCCCATTAGTTGGATCCTCATGGGGGGATGAACAGGTGTAAGATTTCAACTTCGGGGAATCTATATTACCCTCTTTCAGATTGGATGGATCAATATCAGTAGACATAATAACCTTGCTGACATCAGTGGATTTTTCTGGTTTGGCTTCCTTGTCCTCCATCTTTAATCTCTCTGATCTGTGTCGATCTTTTGTACTTCTACTGGAACTATCTTCTCGATGCCTTGAACTACTCTTATGGTACTTGGACGTTGAATAATCAATGGCCCTCCTATCTTCCCTTGAATATGTTGAATCATCATCAAGAGAATGTCTATCTTTTGTACTTCTAGATGAACTATCCTCTCGATGCTTCGAACTACTCTTGTGGTACTTGGACTTTGAAGAATCCACGGCCTTCCTGTCTTCCCTTGAGAATGTGAAATCATCATCAAGAAAATCTCTCTCCCTTCTGACTGAATCCTTTTCATGCCTTCTATGTTCTGAGGTTGATTTTCCATGCCTGCTGGAAATGTCAGTGCGAGAACAACTCCTGTCTTTGTCAGAAGAATCTCGTTCCTTCCTGGAGGTGCTGGTCTTCTCATTTTTTTTATGCTCTAAAGAGGACTTTTCATATTTGTTCATATCCTTGCTACCTGAATGGGTCCTATCATCCACAGATGTTGGACTTTTCTGTAATTTTGGCACAGGAGAATTCCTTTTATCTTCTCTTAAATCCACATCATTCTCAACAAGGTCTTGACTCTCGGGGTCAGGTTTCTCATAGTCTTTGTCATCCAGTCTAGACCTTCTATGCTTACTTCCCTCTTTTAGTGCCCCATCCTCAGACAACAAATTCTTATGAGTTTGTGCCAAACCATTTGATGCCCTATCTTTTTTAATTTCTGTTGAATCCTTTAAATCAAGATCTGGTTCCTTGATAACATCATCTGTTCTGTCAGTCTTTCTGCCATCAAGCTTCAATTTATCAGATCTGTTTCTATCTTTCCTATCATCTACATTAAGTTTACCTTCTTCAGCAGATCTAGATCTTGAGCGTCTTCTTTGGCTTGAAATGTGGTCATTGTTGTGCCTTGGAGAGGATCTACTTCCTCTGTGATTATGCCTTGGAGATCTTGAAGTGGCTCGAGAAGATTTCCTCGTTCTAGGGCTTAAACTTCCTTGATGGCGTTTTGGTGAGGCAGAACCAGCTCGAGATGATTTTCTTATACGAGGACTCACACTCCTACTCTTATGTCTCCTTGAAACAGAAGAATAACGATCATGGGATCTCTCCCTTTCCCGTTTTCCAGATCTGTAGCCGCTATCCCTAACATCTCTATGTGACCGCCGCTCGCTGCTATAACCAGTGTGATGCCGGAATCTATATGGTGATCTGGATCTCCGACTTCTTGAGTGATGGGCTCGAGGTGAGGGAGAGCGAGACCTATGGCTATGCCGGTACTTGATGGGAGATCTTGATCTGGACTTTGATCTTGGGCGAGGCATGGAAGGTGACCTGTTAATTGCAGAAGATTATCAGTTATGCTAATACCATTGTAAAGCAAGTTCTCTTCCAATAAATTGATCAAAAAAAAAAAGTTCTCTTCCAATATTATTATTAAATATAAGTATATAACAGCAATTTGCTTCCATAGTTAGATCAGTTTTCAAAATAAAATTGACACAAAAGAAAGAATGACCGTTTCCAAAGAAGCATTAATGAATTAAATGAAAAGGAATCATAAGGATCAACACGAAAATGACAAACTCTTGTATTTGAGCATTATGAGGAACATTCAATGCACATGAATGGAAAATCAGCTCCAAACATCCAATTAAATTTCAATTTGAGGATTGATTATAGACCAATCAGATGAACTTAATTTTCTCATCTATAGATGTTTTAGGGACAATCAGAAACAACTTTGTTTTGGCTGTAAGAACTGTAGTAGATCATATGCATTGATCATCCATCTAATACCAAATGAAATTATTACCTCAAGACTTCATAAGCAGAAGCCATTCGCCAGTGCAACTCAAGTCCCAAAACCAACTATTAATTCTTGTGAAACAATAATTTTCCAATTCTAGCAGCTAAAATCATTCATCTAGCCAATTTGAAGAGTTTCTGTTTGTGAACATGTGTTTCTTGGGCAATGTCCTAGTTAAACAGGGATCTGACAGATCCACATTATTTTGGGCAATGTTGTAACCTGTGATAGTAAAAAAGGGGGTTGGCAAACCAAATGTGGGCAAGCTTCTTTTCAGTTGAGTTTTTGGACTTCTGTGTAGCTAAAACTGTGTATCTTTCTCAATCATTAATTAATGAACTCATTTTGATGATCAAAAAAATGGGGATGTATTTATTTATTACGATGTTATCTACCATGAGACATCAACAATCAAATATTCCAGATTGTGGTTATGTTTTCTGTCATGTTTAAATAGTCTAAAGGAATCACATCAAGTACCTGGACTTTCTCTTCGTGTCCTTCTCTTCAGTTACAAGCCCATCAGCTTTCAACTTTCGACTAATCTCTGCAGCTCTAGCTGATGCAAGCTCTGTTGCAGACTTCATCGTTGCTGCTCGGTTTGCAGCCTGTTGTGAAGTTATTGTTTGTTGCATAAGGAGAGCTTGTTGAAACTGCATCTGTTGCATGGCAACTGCTTGCTGCATTACCATTGGCAGAGAAGATGGATTCAATGGAGAATTTAAGATTGCTGGTTTTGGTGGAAGTGATTTTGCCATCTCAACATTCAATGGGCGACCCCCAACATCCATATTGTTTAATGCAAGAGCAGCAGTTGCTTCTTCTGGCTTTGAATATTCTATGTAAGCAAAGTGCTTTGAATCAGTGATGCTACACTCAACAACAGTGCCACAATAGCTAAAAAGCTGCTTCAGCTGATCCACAGTAAGAAGTGGACTGAGATTACTAACTTGAAGTGTTTTTTTCAGGGCATCAGTCTTTCCTGCTTTGTCAGGTGACCCTGTTAAGAAATCGAAAATAGAATATTAGAACTGTTGGAAGAATCAACAACAATAACTAAAGGCATAAGGAGACATAACAAGAAATTAGACACTAGTAAAGTAGTAATAAGAAAAAGTGAATGGATAAAGTAATCATCAAGTTGGCCTTATAGAAGCTCAACACCTTTACCACAACAGCCCAGCCAAAAATTACATAGTTTATAGTAAAACCAACAAACTAGAAAGCAGCCAGAAATCTAGACAACAAAATGGTGACCCCAGCCCCACCAACCTGATACCAGCAAATACCCGAATTGAACAATTAAAATCATTGTCATTTGTCATGTTAGCACTTACAGAAACTGTGTACAATTGACAGAATACAAACTCATGCGCCCCCTCTAATTTCTGTTTTCACATTCTAACTCTTTGCAAAATTGGATACTGTAGAAGATCAATGCTATTAACTCATGAACTCAGAATTTCAGAGTAGATGTTTTGAGTAAGCCAGCAAGTTAGATAGCAAGCAGCAGAACACAAAACCCATCAGCACCCCCCTCCCATCCCACATATATATACCTACTAGTAAAAAAATGATAATACATACTAGTAAAAGATGATTGTTGGTTGCTATAGAGCCTACGGAATTACCCTAGGGTTCAGAGGTTTTACGAAAAAAGCACCAAAAAAAGAAAATTCGCTAAAAAATAAAAATTACAAAAAGTTCAAAAAATGTATTAAAGATAGTTTTGATAAAAAAAAATACATACTTAAATTTAAACTAAATGTTTTAAAAATCTTATTAGCTCAAATTAAAATGCATAAACATAACATATAATAAATATTAAAAGTAAAAATGTAAAAATAAAATTAAACATAACATATAAAAACATTCAAGCATGTAAAACGGGGATTTTTGCTCCATGGGGCTACAAAATGGGGATAGCCATCCCCCAACCCTAGTGCAAATGGAACTCGATCCCAAGCCTCCGCTACAACCAGCAAGAGGCCTTACCAACCAACCAGTTGACACCTTGCATTAAGATTAAGAATTTAAGACCCTAACATGGACTTGTTTGGGTTCGCCTCAAGGGGATTGGAACAAAGGTGGCTCATAAAATTGGGAATGAAAGATGTTTAACATCAATTGGGAGAAAATAAAGAAATTGAAAGTTTGACATGCTTGAATATGTTTATATGCTATATTTTGATTTTATTTTTGGATTTTTACATTGAATATGCTTTATATGTTATGTTTATATATTTTAATTTGAGCTAATAGGCTTTTTAAAACATTTAATTTAACATTAAAGTTTTCATTTTTTAATTAATACTTTCTAATATTTTCTTGATTTGTTGTGATTTTTTACATTTTTTGCAAGTACATGCATTTTTTAATTTTTTTTAAATTATGTAGTTTGCTTGAAAAAGTCATGCTCCTTGCCTTGCATATTACATCTCAAGCACAACATGCACTTAGCACTTTTATTACGCCTTGCACTTTTAAAACACTACATCAAGACTGTAAGGAAGAATCCACTTCTTCGTTCTCAAAGTCCCTGAGCCTTCACCCAAACCCAAAATTACCAGAGAACCCAAAAGGATTTAAAGACACCAAAGAATAAATGGGTGTGTTTTGACAAAGGGACATGAAGTACAGCCACTTTGACCTGAAAGACATGAGAGACTCACTCCAAGAGAGGTCCTCAAATGATGCAGACAATAGAAGCAAGGAAAGTATCCATGAAGAAATAAATCAGTATTTTAATTCCTACACTAATTCCAGTTTTTTTTTTTTTTGAGAAGAGGTAAGGTATTATTAAAGAAAAGAGAAGAGAAAAGGAGGATGTACAAGAGAGAAGCCCTTCCAACAAACCACCTAAGGTGAGCTTCAACGAGAACACCCAGCAAACAAACACTGGGACCACCTACTAAATAAAGCCCACAGGGGACAAAGAAAACACCCACAAAATGCTTAGGCCAGACAAAACAAAACAGAAAAGAGCCAACCCCTAGGCTAGTAGACCACCCTACAAGTAGGGGTGTCAATTAGACTGGATTTGATCCAATTCAGTCCAGTCCAATGTGAGTCCATTACAAATGGACCAGGTCCAATCCAATACAATGAATATCTTGGACCATTTTGGACCAGTCCAATTCAATGTCCGGACTGTCCAATCTGTTCAAATTCATTTTAATTTAGATTGGTTTCAACCCAAACCTGGTCCATTGACACCTATATTCTTATTTTATATCAATGGACCAGATATTGGCTTAATCCAACCCAATCCAATATAAATTTATTACAGATGGACCAGGTCCAATCCAATTTAATGAATAATTTGGACTGGATTGTCCAATCCAATATGTCTTGTTGGTCCATCCAATCCGTCCAAATTGATTTTGAACTAAACCAGTCCATTGACACCCTTACCTACCGGCCACACCAATAAAAGAATTAAACCACCACCTTCCTACCTTGCCCCCTTCCCCTACCCCAAGTACTATTGGCGCCTCTGCTTTGAGGTTTGGATGCCACAACATCATAAAGATCTGCCAATTTTTTCGCCTTTCCTGCAACCAAAAGAGTCCAAACTATCAAGAAACCAATCCGATTCAGAGTTGAACATAGTCTCTTGGTCTTCCTCCTCACTCAACTGGGGTTTTGAGAGCGAACAAGCCTCCTGATCTTTTGACACCTTAACTGGAAACAAAACACATGCATCTTCTTTGCTGCATGGGAAAGAGATATCCAAGAACTTCCCAAAATTTGTTAAAGCATCAATGTGCTGCTCAACAGAAGAGGGATTGGTGCATGCATCACCATTAATTGCTTCTACAAGCTCTCTTGCGGAAAAGAGATTTGCAGCAACTTCATTTTCTAGTTATAGGTGTCTTAAGAATCCCCATAACTATCTGATTTCAGAATTTTTGGGTGTTCAGAAATTGGACTATTGATATTTTTTGAGTATTTTTTTCAACTTTACAAATTTAGTGTTATTAGTAAAATCAAAATTTCCATTTATGGAAATTTTCAACTTACTAGTTGCAGCAATTCTCATGACTACTATTTGTAGTAAAATCATCATTTACTTTGTTAGTACTTTCTAGTTTCTTTACATTAATGGCCGGTTTGGTTCAGTGGAATAGGGGTTTAGAATCAGTCAATCAGAATCAGAATGGACCATTCCAATTCCAACTGTTTGGTTGGGCGGAATCGGAATCCCATTTCTACTCCTGGTGGAAACCATGGAATAGCATTCCCCCATTTAAGGAAATAGCTGTTCCCTCCCCCTCCATTGGGAATGAAATCCCATTCCAGCTTATTCCAATTCACATTCCGATTACTGTCAGAACCAAAACAGACTATGGGAATAGACTATTCTGGTTCCAGTTCTGAGGAATTTCAATTCCGGTTCCAATTGTGAACCAAACAAACCCTAAGTTAGTTTTAGTAGGACTAGTTAGGTGCTACCGGAGTTGTTTAAGAGTTAAGAAAAGTCCTTATTTGAGTGTCCCTATGGGTTGTCTATGGGTTTGTCTGAGTTCTAAAGCAATTAAAAGTTGTTTTGGGTCAGTTCTCTAGTCCAAATTGGAGTCTGTAAAGGATCATCCAAGTTCTTGTGGTAAGTCCATAAATAGAGTCATTGTGATTGGCAACAATGACAGTTGATTTGATGAAATAAAGTTTGGTTTTTAGTGAATTCTGGCTGTTGCCAAGAATTTTTCTCTTTTCTTTCCCTCACCTACTTCTTCTAAATGATTTATCTTTTTTGTTCTTTACTCTATCAACAAGAGTCCTTTTATTTCTTTCTAATCTCTTGTTCATTACTTGGTGGACAGCAAGCTGCCAAATTGCTTTCTCCATCCTTATTTATCATCAGTTACACAAAACCCTTTCATCAACAAACAAAGCCCAGCACACAAGGTTTAAAATGTCAGTGACAGTGGAAATGTCAGTCATCCAAAATCCAAATATAGGAAACATGTCAGAAATGTCGGAAATATTATATGAAAATATTTTAAAAATTATAGACATGGTGGAAACATTGTAAAGTATGCAGCTGATCAAATAAAACATTGTCAAATACGCAAAATATAGAAAGACATTTTATTAAATGATAAACAAAGCATAAACCCACCTTTTTAAATTATTATCTTGTTACAAATCATTAAACAAAGCTAAGAAACTAAGGTTATAGACAAAAGAATACATTCTGAAGTTGTCAAGTAAACCTTATCATTCAAAACTTCATCATAGAATGAGTTAAAGCAAAATTTAAACTCAAAGAAAATGTAAGTGGGTGTAATAGATCAACCAAATAAGCACAAAAAAAAATAAAAACTAGCATTTAATTTCGTGTTTGAAACGAACATTGAACTAGCTCAAAGTGGTAATCATGTAGGTTAGGCGGGCAATAATATTGTTCCGGTGCATTAGTGCTGGTATGATCGCACCCACGGGCAATAATACCGTTACTCCGCATATCTCCAATATTGTCACCTTTATGTTATGATATTATCCATTGTACTCCTTATAGTCCTAGTAGTTCACTATGGAATATGTCAAATCCAGTAAAAGTTCATATTGCTACCCATGGAAGTGAAATGGGAATATGTTGTGGAAACTATCTCTTGTACTTCACATAGTGTTGTGATAGAAATCGATCAGCACCCTTGAAGACTTATTCTAGAAAGAAAGGCCTTACAACAGGTCCTAATATGGCATAGTGATGGTACTTGGGATTTGGACTGAATTGAACACCAAGGGTATTTTTGCTATTTTACAATTTTTCTGTAGGGTCCAATAATAGGGTTTAATTGTCTATTTATAGTTTGATTATGTTTAAAATTTCAGAGTCATTGCATAAGTAGGATTAGAGTTATTAAGTCTTCTTTGAATTGAAATAGGATATAACAGCTTAGTTTGAGTCCTACTGGGATTATTGAGTCTAACAGTTTGACTCCTAAGACCATTATGAGTCTAACAGTTTGACTCCTAGGATTATTATGAGTTTAGAGTCTATAAATATGTATGGACGTTTTACACAAAAGGCAATGAAGTTTATTGAGTTTTCTTCAGCTTATGCTAGCTATGGTGAGTGATTCCCATGCCCTAGAGTGATTTTAGGCACCCTGTGAGTGATTCCGGGTATTTTCTCTCTTCTTTCTCTCCCTATTTTCTCTCTTATTCCTTCAAGAAGCCATTATAGCCATCAACAGCCATAAAATTCTGATCCAAGAAGACCATTCAACATTCTCTAAGGACTAGAACTGAGCTGGTCCTACATCATGTCGGTAGGTTGTCCCTCGTCCCTTTCCATTATATGGTAGGTTGTCCCTCCCTCCACCACTCCTCTACTTTTTGAATAAGTGTTGGATGACAAAGTCACGTATTTTCAAACCTAAAAGGTGTTGGCCCTCCCCCTTTGGATCTTCTTTTCTTTTAGTAAAATAGGCCAATGATCAAAGGCAAGTCTAGGCAGTGATCTAGATGACAAGCCATTCCAATATTCCTCCTAGAGTCCTAGTCCACAATAAAAAAAAATCTATATATCTATCCTAGAGCAAATAGGGCTACTTTGTAGATTGGACCAAGTAAATTTCCTTTGTAGCCAGGTGGGTTCTAGATTCCTTAAGCTCAAAACAGCTAACAAACTAGTTGAACTTCCTCATGCTTATGATAATTCTCTGCCTAGGGTTGTTTGTTTCTTGAGTATATCTTATAAAATTGACCAAGTTCTTCCCAAGGACCCTCCCAAAGACCCCTAATATCACCAAGTTCTCCCAACATTTCATTCCTCTTATCTATAGATATTGGGTATAGTGTTTTAAAAGCACAAGGGGCAATGTGTGCTGGAGGTGCAAACCTTTTCAAAGCAAGGTGCAAAAATACATTAAAAAAATGCCAAATAAATTCAAAATTTAAAAAAAAAATAAAAAATATTAAACATAATATTAATAAAAATATAAACTTAAATTTTAAAATAAATGTTTTAAAAATTCTATCAAAAAAATAAATGTTTTAAAAACCTATTATCTAAAATTAAAATACATAAACATAACATGTAAAGTGTATTCAAATTAAAATTTAAAAATAAAATCAAACATAAAAAACATTTTCAAGCATGTAAAACCCAGAATCTCTCTTTTTCTTCAATTGTATTACTTTAAATAGCTAATGTGATGTAAAATATCTTGCATTCATGTTTCTACAAGCCACCTTTGTACCAAGCCCCTTGAGGTAAGCCCAAAGAAATCCATGTTAGGGTCTTAAATTCTTAGTCCTTACACAAAAAAAAATGATTTTATAATTTAAATGGTCTTTTAAGAATATATTTTATTAGGATGAATGAATGAACTACATTAGCAAATAGGGGGCTCTCAAAGAAAAAAGGCACAAAAAAATAAAAAAAGGTGCATGCCAGAGCTGAAGCACAAGGCACACCAAGTACATGCCTAGGCGCACCAAGCACTCACCTTTCGAAATTGTTGCTCCTAGGGCCTAGGCAAGGCGTATACCTTAAAATGTGCCTAGACTGAGCGCCTAGGTGAACCTGGGGCACGCCTTTTAAACCACTAGTTGGGTGCATATACATTTGCAGGTAAAGTAAACTTTCTTTTCTCATTGTTAGGCATGACCCAAGCTTGTATAATCAGCATTACATGCTGAACAAAGCAAGAAATATTGCCACCAACTTAAGATAGAATCAATACAGACTCTCGTTGAATTTATCTCTACAGTCTAGTGGTTAAACAATGTAGCACTCTCAGAAAGGCAAGTTCAATAATGGAAGTAGTTTTTGTTCACTTTTTTTATCAGCAGTAGTTTTTCTTTCCTATTTATTCTCATGTTTAATTCCTAAGTCTTCTTTATCTCCAATTCCATTATCAATAGTTGCATCTGCAGTACCCTCTAGTCATCATATTAAAGGAGACCTTTTGATCTAGTTACTAATCAAAACAAAAGAAACAAAGCAACAAGAGGTTTGAACATTGCAACTTAAAAAATAGTGCTAAATGACAGGTATTTACCTTTTAAGAGAAGTATTTTATGACCAGAAAGTACCCAAATGTAGCCCTCTCTGAATCCTTATTAAATAAAAAGGAAGTAGGAAATATTGCTAATTCAATCTATACAACAAACACCAAAGAGATGATGGGTTCTGAAGATAAGATCCAAAATTTGGAAGATGTGGAGTGACAGTGTCAAAATAAGATTGCTTTTTATAAGCAGTGAAAATAAGGCTGTTTTTGAATCAAATAGTTTATTTAAGAGTTCACATGATTTAACAACAAGATAAACTTCCTGCACACTGGTTTTGCTTGGTGTCTAACCTGACAGGTTAACCAGTTCTCCTCTAATGACAATTTTATCAATTGCTGCATGTAATTAGCATACTCATAGCTCTTTGTTTGGATCTCATGCATGCATCAACAAGGTATGTCCTTTTTATTGTTTTTCTGAATTTGGATCAGACTGACTATTATAATAAATAAAAATGAAAAAAATATATAAAAGTAGAAAATGCAAACAAATATGAGTTATTAAGGGAGAGAGCAAACCAGATGAATCTTTTGCGGATTGGGCTTGTGCCTGCACCTGAGCAGCATGGGCTTGAACAGCCTGTGCAGCAACAATTGCCTGAGCAGCTGCCATTGCAGCAGCAGAAGGTGCCATAGGTACTTGACTTAAGGTTCCCATGGTTGTTATTGGAGCCAATGCACTCATCAACAAGCTGCGATCTGGGTGGTTGTGATTACAAACAGATTTCCTACAACTTCCATTCAAGTATTCCTGGCAAACTTCCCCAAGTGATGTTCCAATTCCAGGCAAAATTGCCCCTCCAGTGGGGCCAGGAAGAATGCCTGGAATCATTCCAAGTAGTCCTGGAAATGCCCCTGAAACAGATCCTGCATAATTTGGCATGTTGGGCATAGTCTGGTTAACAAGATTAGGATATGTAGTGGTCGGCGGCATACCCAGTACACCTCCAGTAGTGCCAGCACTGAAGAACACTGGAAACGGACTGCCCATGATGGGTTTCCCATTGCATTCAACGTTCACCATGTAATTACCTCTCTTGGGAACAACATAAGTAACCGTGTAAGTCCCATCACCTTGATCCTTCACCATCCCTTCCTGATCTGTTCCTCCAACACCAACACCAGGAGAGATCTTGACTTTAAACTGAGCACCCCCATGTGGAACCTTCCGCCCATCAGAGTCCTTTGTAACAACCACGAAAGACGAAGGGGCACAGGCTGCACCCCCGGCAATCCCTGCACCAGCAGCCATGCACTTGCTAGGATCAACCGGCCCAATGGGTTTGTTGGACAAATCCTCCGCTTCTTCCGCCTCGCTATCCGAAGAAACTTGCTCCTTCTCGGATTTTTTTTCGACATCCTTAAACGTGGCCTCGAATGCAGCTTTCGCAGCCGCGGCTTTCTCAGCCTCATTCTTCAGCTTCGCTTCTTCTGCCTGTTTCATCCATATGGGTCGGGCAACTGCAGCACTGCGATCTGCCATTAATCCAAAAACTGCTTCTTACGCAGAAAAAGAAAAACCCTAAACCTTCAAAAATCCGTCACAAATTCAACCAAAGCAATCCCCCCTCCACCTCGTCCTTCACCATTAACCAATCTTCGATGCTAGAAGTCTAGAACCACAGACGACCCCTTTAAGAAAACCCAAATTTGAAACAATCTTATATGTCAAATAGAAACACAATCTACAAAAACAAACATTAGGAAATCAAAAAATGCAAAACAGTAGATTTTGAGTGTTTTGAGATACTAAAACTTATATACAAAAACCCTAGATAAGATTTCTTATGAGTTCTCTAGGGTTCTCTCTGTCTGCCAGTAATGAAGATGAAAACAGAGAGGAATCAACGAAAGGATAGAGATAAAAAACGAACCTCGAAGGGGGATGACCCCTTACAGTGAAGCCCTTTTACGAATAACTCGATCTCTCTGATTTCTCTGCAGGGCTAGGGCGACGGGAGAAACTAGGGAGAGCTTTGAGAGGAAGATATTCTTTTGTGAAAAAGGGCATACAGATAAATTTTGTGATTTCCCAACAACAATCAATCTTCACCTTTCAGTTGTTGGACAAATCTTTGACTCAAAAGCCTAGGCCCGATAAGTGTACATGGGCCCCTAATAACCCAACCCAAGTTCCATTGGGCCAGGCCAAGGATCAAATTCAAATAGATTGGACTCGAAATTATTTCTGCAGGCCCTATACTAGTCGCGACCCGTGTGATGCACAGGTTTTATTGTGTAAAATTAAAGTAAACCGTGAAAGTAGCCTTGTGATGACATTACTAAATTCCAATTGGGCATAACCAAATCAATCCAAGTTCAACCCAAATATTATTTTGTGTTATTTGAATGCAGTCCAAGTTGAACCCTTGTCAGGACCTGTGCAATAAATAAACATGGCTGTTATTTGTTAGAATTTATTAATTTTAGGATAAATTATTTAAACCTCTTATCCAGTTTCCAACAACTGGATGACCTCTCCAAATACCCTTCTACAATTTGGATATATTATATAAATTGATAGGGTGGAATTTGGGTAGGCGCAATTTCAACCACACTGATTCAATTTGCAATTTTACATGGGTTGGCTTTGGAATTTTGATCTTTGGTTTGGATTTGAATCCAAAAGTTCAGACATAGCTTTTAGGTAGCCTGAAACCAACCTGAGCCCAGTTTGACTTATCCAAACCTGAATTATATATATATATATATATATATATATATATATATATTCATATTTGTTATATATATACTTTTATTTA